TCTTTGTTGGAATGGTAGACTAGTAAGACAGCGGAAGTCTTAGAACTTGTAAAGTGTTGACAAGAATTTACTGAAGAACAAGTTAACAATTGAAGTTGTATAAGCTACTTTTATATCTGCTAGAAGTACCTATTCGGTGATGTACCTGTTCGAGCTATTTGCGCTATGCGCTCTAACCACTACTGAGAAGAGTGCGACCGTTCGCGTGACTGAAACGGCTTGCTGACGTAACCATCCAGACTAGCGCTATTTGCTGACGTCATTCTACGGATGCTATCTACAGTGTAACTCGACAATATCTATCGAAACTACTTACAGAAATGCTGAAGTACGATTTTATCACAACACTCCCCTTCATTTATGGAAAATGATAGTATCACTTCTTGATAATTCCACAGAGCTCGTTGCAGTATTGAAACTTCTGACGTGTCAGCTTCTTGGTGAGAAAATCTGCAGCCATTTCATTGGTCAAACAATAGACCAATTGCATTCTCCCCTTCTCGACTTCATCTTTGACGAAAAAGTAACGTAGCGAAATATGTTTCGTACTGTTGGCGAAACCAGGTTGATGCGCAGTTCCGATTGCACTTTGATTGTCGCACTGCAGGGTGAACTGTGTACTTGTTGTCAATTTCGCCTCCTCGAGTAGTTCTTGCAGATAGAGACCTTCGCGAGTAGCTGTGCAGGCAACTATAAACTCGGCTTCAGCAGATGAAAGAGCTACTAGCTCTTGCTTGGTATAATTCTACAAGATAGTTCCAATAGGCTCGAGGCAATTGATGAATCCAGTTCGTGATCGACGATTAGTAGTATCTGCTGCATGATCACCATCGACATACCGGTCAAGTATGAAGTTTTTGTAGTACTAGCTTGGTAGGTAAGTCCGACTTCAGGCAGAGCGCGTAGAATATCTACCCGATTCTCCCCCTCAGGTTGACGCAAAAGTTGCGCGAGCTGGCTAGCGGCGTAGGCGAGATCCGGTCGACACGTAACAGCTGCAAATAGAAGACAACCCAGTTGCTGTTGATAAACCTGTAGTTCCGCGTTATCAAGTGGAGTAGTATCCGGTTGATGGTTAGCCGGTAGAGATCAGAAAGGAGTGGTTATTGTCGAAGCTGTGAGATTAAATCGTGTGGCTAGCATAGCGGCATACTTTGAAGCGGTAAGATGAATAGTAGTTGTGGTTCGGTGGATGTTTAGTCCGAGAAATTGTGTGACTGTAGGGGCGATAGTAATCTGTAAGTTCTGTTGAAGTTTCCGTTCGAAGACAGTAGCGAGAGAATCCGTAGTGCTGATATAAAGCAAGTCGTCGACGTAGGCGACAAATAGAATGTAATCGATACCGTCGGTACGTAGGTACATCCCTTGGTCGTGTGGAAGTTGTCGAAATCCGGCATTTAATAGTTGACGATGTAGATACTACTGCCAGAGTCGTGGTGCCTGTTTGATGCCATAGAGAGATTTTTTGAGATGGCACACGCTGGGAGGATTAGTCTCGTAAGAATGTGGATACTCGACCAGGATTAGTGCATCGATGGAAGCATATAGAAAAGCCTTGGCGACGTCGATTTGACGAAGGCGGAAATTCCTGTAGGCTGCGATGCAGAGAATTATTCTGACACTAGTGTGTTGGCCGACGGGTGTGAAGGTTAGTTCGTAGTTGAGACTGAATTTTTGCTCGAAGCTGCGGACGACCCATTGCACTTTGAATTTCTGGAAGGAACCATCGGCATTTGTCTTCACGCGAAAAACCCATTTCCCGGTAAGAACTGTACTCCCCTTTGTTGCTGTCAGCAGGATTAAATCCCAGGTACCTCTGTTTTCCAGAGCTGCTAACTCACGGTCCATGGCTTCGCGCCATTTCTCTCTGTGTTGACTCGTCAGAGCTTGACGAACTGTTTTCGGCTCCAAAATGTTACTGCTGTTTGTCTGTACTGCGACTGCAAGTCCCAAAACTTGTGGCGAATTGAACTTGGAAAGTAACTTGGAAAAGGTTCGGGCGGAAGATTTGCGGTTGCACATGTTGTGCAGACTGCTGGTCGCGAAGACGGCTTCATCTCCGTTCCATCCGGTAAGAGCAAACTATTCTTGTCAAGAACTGAAGCGCGGATTGTATGATTAAGAATCCCCAGTGAAGGATGTCCTAACCTTTGATGCCATATATCTTCCGTTGCGTTGTGTCCTGTTGATCGCAGATAAAAATCGGCATTAGTATAAAAAGAAGAAACGATGAAATGAGATATCGTTGGTGATTCGTCGAGTTCTCCAAGAACGAAGCGATTTAAAGGTAACTTGGTCGTAGTATCTTCCACTTCGAGTATTTCTTCCGGTTGAAGAATTAAATTCCCCTTCCTCAATTTCTGTTTCCTGTGTTTCTGCTGCAGGTTGACCAACGAGAATCCTTGTTTCTGCTTCACCGCTACTCTACTGCTCTGCTTCCTCTGCTTCACTGCTGCTGCTGGGTCCCCAAGGTCCGGTAGGTTTGTTTTCAAGCTGTTGTAGAGTATTGTAATAATTTCTCCATGCTGATGTGTCTTCCTTTGCTGTGTTTGTTGGCCCGGAATCAAGAGTCGTGATAATTGCTGCTGCTGTGCAAGAGCCTGTTGGAACTGCTTTTGCACGAAAGTCGATGTCAACGTTCTGGAAGTCAGTTTTTTCAGGATGTTGCCAAGGTCCAAGAGATAACACTCTCTCAGAAGATCCATTAGTCCCTTGCGATTCAAAATTAAGAACAAAGACCCCATACTGAGTGGCGGCTCTCCCGATGTAAGTGTTTGAATCATTATGATAAATTTCTTGATCCATTGTCTCACAGTTTCCTTGTGTCCGTATCTTATGTCGCAGGAGTTGAGCAGTTGAAAGAGGATTAAAGCCAAATCCTTCGAGGATAAGAACATTGGTAACGTGTAATGAAAATCCTGTGTCCACTGAATCCAACATGACGCTCCCAACTGACTTTGCCATTATCGTTTGTCCATTTGCGACTGCGACTGGACGGCGAAGCGGTCGTTGATGAGTAATGAAGAGCGTCTCGGCAGAGCACATGTGTTGTCCACAGCAACTGTCAAGATAACAAAAGTTCGGTCCTGCAACGACTCAAGCAAGGTTAGCATAGACTTGAGGTAAAACCATGTTCTCTGGTTGCTCCTTGTCGCCGTCGTCGAAATCAGAATCTGTTGCATCAACTGTTGTAACGCAGCTAAAGACTTGTTTCCCTGATGTTGCAGCAGTTGTTGCCGGGGGATTCTGCTTCACGGATTGCCTGAACTGCTGCGACTGCTGCTGTCCCTCTTTTTTTTTATCAGCTTGAAGCTTGTTGTAAAACTTTATACGGTGCCCATCCCTTTTGCAGTTGTGGCAGAAGAATTTGTTGACGCGTTTCGTAGGCGTTGTATAAAAACTGCTTTCTTCTTACGTGCTGTTTGCAGGTCAAGATCTTGCTGCTCTGCTTGAAGGATGGAGCAGATTTCTGCTTCTAAAAGATTTGGTTGAAGGCGAAGAAGGGATCGACACTGCCGCCATTCTGCTCCAAGACTGGCAAGAAGGACAGTTATAAACATGTCCTTTGGGAAGTATCCACCGCACTTTTCCAATTGATCACGAAGTGTGCGAGCCTTGTTAACATAATCCGAAACGTTCTCGTTGCCTTGCATCTGTATAGTTGTCAGTTGTGAGAGAATTTTACTCACAGAAATTGTATCCTGTCCCATACACAGCCCCTTCAAATGCGTCCATGCAGATTCAGCTGGAGTCAAACTGGTGTGAAGCGAGCGTATACCGAGCTGCGCTTTCAGCGACAGATTGCAGATAAGGACGGTGTAAGCGCTGAGTGATGCATGAAGAAAACTTTGTTGTTCCATCTGTGTTCCCGTAACAGAAGAAGAGTAATTGCCACTGAAGAACGGCCACAGCCCCGTGGATTTCGTGAGAAGTTCGAATTCAAAGCTCCAGGCGTAGAAGTCAACGCCATTAAAAGGTATGGTTGTCTTGATCTGTGTGTTGCTTAAAAGATTTGGGGCCTGAAAAACAGAACCAGCGAATGTAGTCCGCTGCTGCGGAAACTGCTGTTGAGGTTGCTGTTGCTGCTGTTGTTGCTGAAATTGTTGTTGTGCTTGATGCTGTTGTTGAAGAAATTGGAACTGTTGATGTTGAGCAGGTGTAAATGAAAACGAAGAACTGGAGCTTGGAGCGATTGCAGCTCTTGCATAGCTGGTGTTAGGATTAAGGACGGAGTCTAGGTGAACTTAGGAGCTCGAATTACTCAAAATATAAATCCGAAATTCTTGACAGAAAAGTCGTCTTCACAAGAAACAACGTCGACAAAAAACTAGCCGTTGGAATGTCGCTAAACTTGGATATGTTGTAGCTCTTAATCTCTGCTACCGTTCCCAATTCGACTCACGTTGATTGATGAAGTATTCGCGACGCTATGGCTTTCGACGCATTAGGGGGTAAGCTGTAGGAGGAGAACTTAACTCAATCTCAAAAGTTCAATCAAAGTTCAAGAATCTCACAAGGAATTAGAGGAGCAAGAGAAAGGTTGGGATAAAAGAGAGGGATGAGAGGGAAGGTCCCAAGAGAGTCCCCAACCAAGGAAACCCCATAAGCACAAAGATTCCCTCCCTATAGGAACCCCAACTTTGACATTTGTCCCTTCCCAACCAATCCATCCAAGTTGGCCACCCTTGCCAACCTAGCTTGGTTGTTCCCAACCAATTTTACAGCTGTTACATTAGAGTGACAAATTTCCCCAACCCCAAAGGTCCCAACTCCATATAGAGTCACCCCACAACTTCACTTTGTAACCGCCGCAATTGTAACGCAAGCTCATGAACTTTGAATCTTCATAGCTTTCGCGTTCTTGCTCCGATTGAAGGGATTCTCGTTGCGTCAGAAAGATCTTCTCAAGATCTATCATCTCAAATACATGCTCAGACAGAATAACACAAAACACATTCCCAAAATCCAGAACACACACCACACAAATTCTTTCACACACAGTCAAACCATACATGCGAATTGAAACAAGAGATGGGAGGCAGACAGAATGTGATAGCATATGATGACATCACACAACAATCTCCCCCTCTGGCTGCCAACCATCATCCATCATACCAACATCTCAAGCATGCATACTCAATGCACACTCATCCCAGCAAGCCTCATGCCCTTCCAATGATCCGCCTCCGCCAGACGCTTGGTGAAAATATGTGCTGCCTGCTGATGGGTCTTCACTATCTCCAGCCGCACCTCCTTATCAAGGAGTCTCCTCACCCAGTGCCACTTAGGCCTTATGTGTTTTGTCAGCCCATGCAGACAAGCATTCTTGGCGAGCTTCACAGCAGACTCATTGTCACAGAACACAACTGTCGGCTCCTCTTGACCAACTCCCAACTCCTCCAGCAAGCGCCTCAGCCACACCACTTCCTTGGCCCCATGGTGTAAGGCCATGTACTCAGTCTCACATGAGGACAATCCCACCTCATTCTGCTTCTTGCTGCGCCAGCTCATAGCACCACGTCCTAGCAAGCACACATAACCCCCAATGCTGGTGCCATCCGCTTTCACTGAGTTGAAGCTAGCGTCAGTATAGCAACTCAAGAGCATCTCTCCACTCTTCACATCTGCAGCACCTCTCTGCAACTGCTGCCTCACTCCACTGTACTCCAATCCCACTGATGCCGTAGCGCTCACATAGCGGACCAACCTCTTGGCCGCTTCCAACTGCTCATGACTAGGGCGTGAGACCGCACTAGCCAACCGTGATGTAGCAAATGCAATGTCAGGCCGTGTATGATTTGCAGCATAATTCAGCGACCCAACCATCGAATGAAACAGCTTCCTGTCACTATCACCCACTACCTCCTCATCAGCACATGGCTCCACAGTGAACCCCGAAGGTAGTGGTGTTGCTGGCTTTCCCCCATCTTGCAGCCCATACTTCTCAGCCAGCCCCTCACAGTACTTCCTCTGGTGCAACCTCAGCACACCCTTCTCCACATCTCTCTCCACATGCATCCCCAAGTAGTACTTCACCTCACCCATCTTGGAACACTTGAACTGCATCTCCAGCATCTGCTCTGCGCTGTCCAGCAAAGCAGTTGATGCAGAAAAGAGAAGGATATCATCCACGTACACCAAGAGCCTGAGGATTTCATCCTTCTCCTGCAGCAGGAATAGGCTGGGGTCACACTCACTCTTCTTGAAACCCCTAGCCAACAGCGCCTCCTCCAACTTGTGATACCATGCACGAGGCGCCTGCTTAAGGCCATAGATGGCCTTCTTCAGCCTGCAGACCCTGCCGCTCCCATCATCCAGCCCCTCTGGCTGCTTCATGTACACCTCCTCCAGAATGATCCCATTCAGAAAGGCAGTCACAATGTCCATCTGCCGTATCTTCCATCCCAGGAGTGCAGCTATCGCCAACAGCACCCTCAATGTTGTTCCTTTCCCCACAGGAGCAAACACCTCATCATAGTCCTTCCCCTTTGTCTGCTGAAACCCCCGTGCCACAAGCCTAGACTTGTAGCGGGTCAGCTCCCCTTCAGGTCCATACTTGTGCCTGTAGATCATCTTGGAAGTGATTGCCTTCTTCCCAGGAGGCAAGTCACACAGGTCCCATGTCTCGTTCTCAATCAGGGACCCGAACTCCTCATCCTCACTCGCCTTCCACTTCTCCCCATTTGGTCCATTCAAGGCCTCCTCTCGAGTCTTGGGCTCAGGGATTGGTGCCCAGTAGCAGTGAGCGATCTCATCTTCCTCAATCTGCTCAACCACACTCCCAGCCTGCACCACATTCGGCTTGCCTCTTCCCCCATAGGTCAGCCTCACAGGAGGGCGCACATCCCTTCTAGGTCGCTCAGGCGGGTGTGGAACTCGAGGTGGAGACTCATGCTGCTGCTGCTGCTCCACTTCAGCTGCTCCCCCTTCCTCAGTCACCCCAGACATCTCCTCCTCTGACACTTCAACCTCCACCTGTCTTGAAGGCCGCTGCAACTCATCTGCCTCCACAATTAGCGGTGTAGATGGAAGCTTCTGTTGCTACTGCTTCCATTCCTTGTAGTACAGGGACTCGAGAAACTTCACATCCCTTGACACTGTCAGCTTCTGGGTGGTCAAGTCCCATAGCAGCCACCCCTTGTGATCCTTTGCAATCCCCAAGTGCACACCCCATCTTCCAGAAGCCTCCAACTTCCCCCTTTTCTCCTTAGGCACATGAAACACCACCATGCACCCAAATGCCCTCAGCATGTTCACAGCTGGAGCACTCCCATACCACTTGGTATATGGGATCCACTCCTTCTCCCCAACTGTAGCGAGCACCCTATTCTTTACAAGGGCGACCTGCCTCAATGCAGACACCCAAAATGGATCAGGCAGCCCTGCACGCCGAAGGAGAGTGCGTGCCCCCTCCTGCAGGGTCCTGTTGAACCTCTCAGCCACGCCATTCTGCTGCGGGTTGTAGGGCACTGTCAGATGATGCTGGATCCCCTTCCTCTTCAACTCCCCCTCAAAATCAGCTCCAATGAACTCCCCACCATTGTCACTGCGGATCACCTTCACCTTGTGTCCGCATTCCCTTTGAGCTCTAGGCATCCACTCCTTAAGGACAGCCGCTGCCACCTCCCCCTTTCTCTTCAAAGGGTAAACCCACACTGCCCGAGTGTGGTCATCCACAATTGTCAAGAAATAGCGGCTGCCTGAGAGGGAAGGGCTCTTGTGGGCCCCACCACATCCATGTGCACAAGTGCAAGTGGGGTCTTGGCTGGTCCTGTAGTGCTGTTGAAGGGGATCTTGGAGAACTTGGTCTCCAAGCATGTAGGGCAGCTCCCAATCTCCTTCACTCCCCCTTTCACCTCCAAGCCCTTCAGGCTCCCATCCTTCACCAACTTCTGCAGCATAGGGAAGTTCACATGACACAGCCTCTCATGCCATGTCTCCCAATCGGCCTCTCCACTCTTTGATGAAGCCTTAGCCCATGCCGCACTCGCATCCACACCAGCAAGCACCTCACCATGTGTCTGCTGCTCTTTCTTGAATGCTTCCAGGACCCCATCAGTTGGTGCAGTTGCATCTCCTCCTGCTGTTGCCTTTGTCGCTGCTGCCGTTGCTGCTGTTGGAGTCTTCCCATTCCAAGGGATGATGGGCAGCTGCCACAGGTCCTTGATGCAACTGGTCTCCTCTTCTAGACTCCACAGCACCTTCTTCCCAAGCTTAGCACGGCAGCTGGTTGGTCCAAAGGTCACTTCGGCCTTGCTCTTCTGCAGTCGCCGCAGAGAGAGAAGGTTAGCAGACAAACCTTCAACTAGCAGAGCATTCCCAAGCCCCACAAGCTCCCCATTAGCTCCCTTAACCTTGGCATTTCCAACACCAATCACAGGGAGCAAAGCACCTGACGCTGCTGCCACATACTTGATCTTCCCAGTGGGTTTTACCTCATCAAGCAAATCTGCCCGTGGGGTCATGTGACTGGTGCAACCCGAATCAATCACCCAGTGCGTGAGAGGGTGCATCACAACCTTTCCCACAGATCCCACATCACCCTCATGCCAATGCACATCCTCAACCATGAGAAACATCCCAGGATAGGCATTACCTTGTGCACCTTCACCTTGTGCACCTGAGCCTTGCACAGCGCCACCTTGTGCGCGTTCACCACTGGGCGGCTTCATGCCTGGAGGTGCCCATCCCTCCGGCCTGCTGAAGCACTTGAACCAAGGATGCCCGACCTTCTTGCAGTACCAGTAGGTGCCCTCCATTCTGGTACTCCCCCTGCCACTGGAGCTCCCATGCCCTTCATTATAGTCACCTCGGCCTCTACCTCTGCCAAAGCTCCTCCCACGGCCTCGGCCTCTCCAACCCCCTCTTCCTCTGCCGCGCCTTGCAGCTCCATACCCCTCAGTAGTCTTAGTAGACGCACCACCTCCCACATGGCGTCTGCGGAAGTCCTCCTACAGAATCTGCTGCCTTAGCCACTTAGGTGTCCATTGATCTTGCTGAGAGTTGAGGGTGGGGATTAGGTTGTCCCAAGAGTTGTCCAACACCGAGATGATCTTGGTGCACTGCTGCAGCTGAGATACACTGCTGCCCGCTGCTGCCATCCTTGCATAGGTGTCCTTGATCTTGTCAAGGACCGGCTTCACATCGTCCCCTGGTCGCATGGAGATGGCAGCAAGTTCCTTCTCGAGCACGATCACCATTGGGAGAGTGTTGGGCTGAATCACATCGCGTAGTAGTTTCCACGCCCTTGGACCCGAATCATCCGCTTCCACAAGATCCTTGATGTGCTCGAACATCTCCTTGTTGACCGATTGAAGTATGAGGTCGAAAAGCACCGCGCTTTTCTCAATCCACCGTTCACGTGCTTCGCCTTCTTCCTGCATCTTCTCTTCCCCAACAGCAATCTTCAGTAGATTGTAGCGTTTGAAGGCACTCCTCATCCGACCGCTCCATTACTCATAGTTGGAGCCATCCAAAGCTTCAACTTTTGATGGCGGCGGCTCACTTGTCTTCTCAGGTACAGCTCCTCTTCCATTAGCATCTCCTCCTCTCTCATTCATCTTCTCCTTGAGAAATGACGAATTTCAGCTTCCCTTTGCTGTCCACACTCAGCTCCCTCGATATTTTCACAAGTATCGGCGTCCACGAAATTTCGGCAGAGTTTCCCCATAGCGGAAGACACATCCAACCTTTAGAACACCACTTAGGCACACCCACAGGCCATGATGGGTCTAGAAGGGTCTTCACACTTCTGTAGACTCCTCTCAATGTCCTTAATATGGCTCTGATACCACTTGTTAGGATTAAGGACGGAGTCTAGGTGAACTTAGGAGCTAGAATTACTCAAAATATAAATCCGAAATTCTGGACAGAAAAGTCGTCTTCACAAGAAACAACGTCGACAAAACACTAGCCGTTGGAATGTCGCGAAACTCGCATATGTTGTAGCTCTTAATCTCAGCTACCGTTCCCAATTTAAATCACGTTGATTGATGAAGTATTAGCGACGCTATGGCTTTCGACGCACTAGTGGGTAAGCTGTAGGAGGAGAACTTAACTCAATCTCAAAAGTTCAATCAAAGTTCAAGAATCTCACAAGGAATTAGAGGAGCAAGAGAAAGGTTGGGATAGAAGAGAGGGATGAGAGGGAAGGTCCCAAGAGAGTCCCCAACCAAGGAAACCCCATAAGCACAAAGATTCCCTCCCTATAGGAACCCCAACTTTGACATTTGTCCCTTCCCAACCAATCCATCCAAGTTGGCCACCCTTGCCAACCTAGCTTGGTTGTTCCCAACCAATTTTGCAGCTGTTATAGTAGAGTGACAAATTTCCCCAACCCCAAAGGTCCCAACTCCATATAGAGTCACCCCACAACTTCACTTTGTAACCGCCGCAATTGTAACGCAAGCTCATGAACTTTGAATCTTCATAGCTTTCGCGTTCTTGCTCCGATTGAAGGGATTCTCGTTGCGTCGGAAAGATCTTCTCAAGATCTATAATCTCAAATACCTGCTCAGACAGAATAACACAAAACACATTCCCAAACTCCAGAACACACACCACACAAATTCTTTCACACACAGTCAAACCATACATGCGAATTGAAACAAGAGATGGGAGGCAGACAGAATGTGATAGCATATGATGACATCACACAACAGCTGGAGCCGTCGATACTCACTCCACTAAAAGCTGCTGAGATTGAAGCTGTTGATTATTGCTATTGTGTTGCAGGTGCAAAGGACGAAGTCCCAGGTGGATGCACAGTAGGCAAAACCTGCTGCTGTTGCGACATCCCGCTTGAAGAATAAGCAGGTGGAAAGTTTCCAGCTGCAGAATTACCTGCTTGACCAGTAATGACTGCAGGATTTGACCTCGGCGTCACCACTACGTTCCCTGCGCACGAGCGGTTCACTGTCTGTACCGAGGCTGTCTCAGGTTTCCCCCTTGCGACGTTCCCCCGGGACCCGGTGTCCAGTCTGTCTACCCTCGACACCGCTCCCCCCCCCCGGTTGGTGTGTCCTCCTAGGTCGCTGCAGCGTGCTCCTGTCGGTCTCTCACTCACCCGTCCCTTTTGTGGCACCACCACCTAGGTCACCCTGCACTCCCGCGTCTGCGTCACATGTCCCAGCACGGTCTTCTCTTAGGCCTCCCCACGTCGCTCCCCGCCCATCCCCTCTCGCCTGCTCCACCGTGCACGCCCTGCGTCGAGGGCCGGCTCCGCCGTGCCCCTCACTCCTCCTCGCTTCGCCCTGCTACTGCTCCCCTTCAGACCCTGCACCTGGACGTTTGGGGCCCTGCCCCCGTCCCCGGACCGCGTGGCAAGCGCTACTTTCTTGTGCTCGTCGATGACTACACGCGCTACACCACGGTGTTTCCCCTGGAGCGGAAGGCCAACGTGCCCGACGTTCTTCTCCCGTGGGTTGTGGCTGCGCGTCTTCACCGCGGTCTCCCCGTGTTGTGTCTCCACTCTGACTGTGGCGGCGAGTTCGCTTCTGGTCGGCTGGGACAGTTCTGTCGTGCGGAGGGCATCACCCAGTCGTACACCTTGCCGGACTCGCCACAGCAAAATGGGGCTGCTGAGCGCCGCATCGGCTTGGTGATGGAGGTGGCTCGTACCTCCATGATCCATGCCGGTGCACCCCATTTTCTGTGGCCGTTCGCCGTTTGCTACGCCGCTCACCAGCTTAACCTGTGGCCACGCTCCCAGTGGTCGCAGGTTTCGCCGACCCTCCTTTGGACCGGGTCCCCCAGTGACGCGTCTGCGTTCCACGTCTTGGGCTGCCTTGCTCACGTTCGTGCCTCCGGCACGGACAAGCTCACTCTGTCTTCCTTGGTTTCCCCCTCGACTCGTCTGACTGGCTCTTCTACCACCCGCAGTCTCACCGCTTCCTCCACTCTCGTGACGTCACCTTTGACGAGTCCGTCTCCTTCTACCGTCCCTTCCCTCACCGAGGTCTCCCGGTTTCCCCCCCCTGTTCCTTGCCCCCTCTCCCCCGGTAGCCCCTCCTCCCCTCCCGCCTCGTCCTGCCCCATCTGGTGTCTCCCATGTCACTCCCCTCCCGTCAGTTGTCCCTGTTGAGGAGTCTACTGACTCTGGTAGTCCCCCCGCCCCGCCTTTGCCGCGTCCCCCTTCCCTGGTGTCTCCGCCCCCGCTGTCGCAGTCGCCGCCGCCGCCTCCATCGCAGCCGCAGTCGCAGCCGCCGCCGCCGCCGCCGCCGCTGCTGCCGCCACCGCTGCCGCTCTTGGCCTCTGGGGGTGCTGGCGCTGAGGATGGTGTTCGTCCTGCGGCTCCTGGTGTGGTCTGTCCCGGCGGGTCTGGGGGTGCCGCTGGGGCTGGAGAGGGTTCTCGCTCTGGGGGTGCTAGTTCTGGGGGTGCTGCTATTGAGTGTTCTCCCGGAGGTCGTAGTGCCCCTGCCGGTTTGAGGGTCGAGCACCAGCCGCCGCACCAGCCGCCGCAGCCGTCGCCGCCGGTCTCCGCTCTTCGCCTGCTCGGCCTTCCCTCCCCTGACCGCTCGCCGGTTTCTCCCCACCTCCTCCTCCCCTTCCTGTCTACGGCCATGTGTTCCTGCCCCCGGACTCTTCTCCGGCCTGACTTCCTCCTCGTTCCCCCCTTGTGTCCCCTCCGCTGTCTCCTGACCCTACACCTCCGTCCCACGTTTGGTATCGCCTTCCCTCACGTGCTCGTCCCGTCTCCCCTGTCCCATGCTCCCACCCTATGTTACTCCGTTCTCACTCGTCTTGTCCTCCTCTCCTCCCCTCGCCTCCTCCCTCATCTCTTGTTGTTGCACCTCCCCCGTTGTCTGACTACCTCCATGCCGCTCGTCCCCTAGTCCCTCGGGTCCTTGCCTCTCTTGTTACAGACCCGTCTGTTGCTGTGTAGAGGACACGCAGTACGAGCTTGCTTTCCATTCCGAGGCCGCTCCCCATCTCTGCTCCATGCTCCTAGTCCCAGAGGGTGACCCAGACGCCTTCGACATCCCGACCCCTTGCACTTACGCTGAGGCCACCTCGGGACCCTGGGCCTCTCAGTGGATAGCTGCCATGGAGCAGGAGATGGCATCTTGGAGGTCCACCGGCACTTACGTCGACGCAGTTCCCCTGTCTGGGGTGAACGTAGTCGATGGTCGGTGGCTCTTCAAGGTGAAGCGCCCCCCTGGAGAGCTGCCTGTCTTCAAGGCGCGCTACGTGGCCAGAGGCTTCAGCCAGCGCGGGGGGGTTGACTTCTTCCAGACCTTCGCCCCGACCCCGAAGATGACCACTCTTCGGGCGCTGCTACACGTAGTAGCACAGCACGACTACAAGCTCCACTCCCTCGACTTCTCTACTGCCTTTCTTCAGGGCAGTCTACACGAGCAGGTCTACCTGCGTCGACCACAGGGCTTCACTGGTACCTTCCCCCCTGGGACCCAGTGGCTTCTCAGGCGCCCGGTCTACGGCCTGCGTCAGGCTCCCCGCGAGTGGCACGACACGCTGCGTGCCACGTTAGCAGACCTGCAGTTCTTTCCGTCCTCTGCTGACCCCTCGCTGTTTGTGCGTTCGGCCAGACTCCGTTCTACATCCTTGTCTACAGAGACAACCTGGTCTTCGCTACTGCTGACATGGACGCACTGGCCTCTGTGAAGGCCGAGCTACTGAAGAGACACACCTGCACTGACCTTGGAGAGCTGCGTTGCTATCTTCGCCTCCAGATCTCTAGGGACAGAGCAGCACGCACCATCACTCTGACACAGTCACACTTGGTGCATCAGGTCCTTCAGAGGTTCGGTCTTCAGTTCTCCTCCGCACAGCCCACACTTCTACCTGTAGACCATGGGCTCTCCGCTCCCGTTCCTGAGGAGTCAGTAGAGCCCAGTGGCCCCTACGCAGAGCTGGTGGGTTGCCTCATGTACCTGATAACTTGCACTCGCCCAGATCTCGCATACCCTCTCAGCATCCTGGCTCGCTTTGTGGCCACTGGCAGACACCGACCGCAGCACTGGTCGGCCGCAAAGAGGGTTTTGCGATATCTAGCAAGTACATCGTGCATGGGGTTAGTGCTAGGAGGACGTAGGCCGGTGGTCCTCACAGGGCACACAGACGCTTCTTGGGCAGACGACTCTGAGACGCCCAGGTCGTCTCAGGGCTACTGTTTTGGCCTTGGCTTGGGTGCTATCTCTTGGAGATCCACTCGCTCGTCGTCTGTTGCTCAGTCCAGCTGTGAGGCTCAGATCTACGCGGGTGCCATGGCGGCACAGGAGCTCCGCTGGCTGACCTTCTTGCTCACTGACTTAGGTGAGCGGCCTAGCTCTGCCTCGGTCCTGTAGGCTGACAACAGGGCCATGATCCTCCTGTGTCAGGAGCCTCGGCTTGAGGGCAGAGTGAAGCATATCCAGCTGCGGTACTTCCTCCTGCGCGAGCTGCAGCACCGTCGCCAGGCCCGTGT